TCCAATCACGTGTTTACTTTGCTTTTTTCACTTTCCCATTCTTGACTACTCTTCCCTACACTTGCTCCCCTTTTTGTTCGTTCCTCTCTCTTGTGATTGTGCATCATTGCCTCCCGGGCGCATCATCATAATTAGAATTCCCCGATGCTCTTCAGAGACTGATACAATATTGGAAGTATAGGCGAAGTTTTCTGAATGTAATCCATGTCCAATTTGTTATTTGAGTTCTTCCATTTAGAACCAGCCATATCATCCCTTCCAACGTCCACTTCCCCGTCTAAATCTGTTCCCATGAAGGTAAATCACCCCTCTTTAAAAGTGTGTTACCTGCTTCTTTATGGTCATTCTGTCGTCTTTCCTATTTGATCTTATAAATATAAGATTCTTGAATAACTTTCGCTTGATGAGTTTCATTACGATATTAATTTAACTTTTTCATCTCCAAATCACGTAATGATTATCCACTTTGCTGTTCGTCAATGTGTTAGCCTGTTTGCCTCAATTACTCGTAAAAGGAAAAATAAAAGAATTTATAACTCTGTGAACTAGAAGCAATCAAGATTGATAGAGCAGCTCCAAACAGCGTTTTCTTACACACGCTGCCACCTAGAACCACATTTTGTTGAGATTTAAGAGCAGACTCCTAGTTTCATGTTCGAAATAATGAAACCAGCTTTTTGAATGAAGTGGAGTCGTAAAACGAACTCCTTACCTTGTAATACTATCAAGGACAACAACTCGTTTCGGAATTATAATCCTGCCACGAAACTACAGTAAATTACAGTAGTGCGGGGACGTTGCAAAAATGGGCCTAAGGACTGTAGACGCGACTGAATCGTCGTGGTAACGCCATCCCGATCTTCTTCTACTAACATAATTGGCAGTTATAGACGAATTCGGGTACTGTCGTCGTCCCATGTGGGGATTTATTCGGCCATCTGGGGACTTTTTAAGGACCCGTTCTGTAGAAGAATTTGAACAGTCCAAGATTTGATCCTTCGAGTTGGGTATCCCATTCTGGAACCCAAATAGAAGGTATGGCCAGTAAGTCGGGGTGGCTATTCCATTTCTCTTATATTCGGGTCCAAATCCCTCTTTTTACGTTCCTTTTTAGACCCTCATGCTGAAGTACATTGCGAAAAGATCTGCTTGTTCTTCGGACCAAAGTTTATGTAAGATTTTCACTCCGGGAAAGCCGAAATCGGGTCGAAATAACTCGTTTCTCCATCTGCGAGGCCTACCCATATGTCTTACTACCTCTTCTTATTACTTTGAATGAATTCTTAGAAAGGATTGACTGTAGAACCACAGTCTCCTCTCGAACGAGAGTTACCTGCCTTTATCACTTTCTCGCTCCTCTTTCTTTGAATTTCGTTCTCAAAGAAAAGATCCTGTCCAGTATGGTCGCAGTTTTGCCTTGCATCAAGCTTATCTGAGTTTTCGTGCTGACTCGCGCTCCAATTCCTGGGCAAGGAATTCCTTTTTGAAAAAGCCATTATATATCCAAAATAGTGAGAGCAACTTTAATGTATGTCGGCTGGTCCACAAAGCCAGAATTCCCACCAGAAGTTCTTTCAGTTCACGTCGATTACCGGTTTATTGAACAGACTTTCGAAGCTAGTAAATAGGGCTGGCAGTTACCAACAGTACGGATCTTTGGAGACCTCAAACTTGAGAAAGATAGGAGCCCCTCGTTAGGTCGTTGCCGCCAACAAAAGGGCTAGGCCACGTCTATTGTCGTAGTGTCCGTGGCTGCACAAAAAATGTCCAAGTTTACGTTTATCAAAGTTCTCAAACATTTTCGTTTTGTTTTGGTTTTTAATTTTTGTTTTTGTTTGGCGCGAGTCTTGCAAGCTTCTAAAGTAGTGTTTATTATCACACAGATTACAGGATATGGCGAGGTTCAGGATTTGTGCGAAAAGGAGAAGCAATGATGTTGCGAAAAAAATTCGTTTACAGCTGTCTCACTTTGGTGTCAATTCTAAATACACAGATTCGAGCTTTATAGATAAATTTCGATCTGAACTCAAAGGTTAGTTTTCATAATGTAAAAATCGTGAAGGAAGTGAGCTAATCAGTTGCATCATGGATGCCTTTTTAATTTTTGAAGTGGCATTCGTTATGTTCAAGAATAATCTAAGTACTGTATAGTTCAGTAGTGGAATTTGCATAGATAAGCAGATCGCTTTGAGTTTTCGAGCTCTTTGGACAGTTGTAGGTTGCACGGATAATTAAAAGGCTACACAGAAAAAAGGCAGAAAAATTCCACAGTGTAGCATATCTTATAGCACAAGGCAGGATTGGAAAGTTATAATCTGGTGGGTTATGTAGTTTTCAGTGTGGCTTTTTATGGGTGAAAAATACTTTCAACTGTTGTTCGAAAGGCAGGCCCAGTTGGCACAGAGAAAATATGCCGTAATGCTGTTGACGTGGTGCTTTTGCCCACTGTGTCAATTCAGAAGCACTGTCGACGTTGACTATCGCCCCCATTGTTTTACAGAAAAAGGGTCACAAAGTCCGCTTCAACGGTGCAATTCTTTCCCAACCCATGACCTCTTTGCGGAAGCCTTTTAGCACACAAACCCAAGTTCTCATCTGAACGACTTTTTTCTTTTTAATAGATCATTTTTCGTTTTGACTTTTGTATTTTATTTATTTTTGTTTTGAATTTTGAGTCTTTTACAGTGCACTGCGCAATATTACAGAAAAGGAGCCGTTTCCTCATTGGCAGCTGTGCGATTTTTTGCACGTGGAACCGGCAGTTTTGAAGCGCCTTAATGATGAGCTCATCGAATACAAGGGATGGAATCGTAAAGAAAACGACTTGTACTCGCTTTTCCAAACTCCTGATCTGAAGACTATCGATGGAGTCGAGTATCCGACAATCCGCGCGTTCCAGTAATGCCTTTGCTTTTATTTGCTATGTTCTTATTTAGACTTGTTTTCTTTTTCTGGGCAACTGTTGTTGAAGTCAGGGTTCCCTAGAAAAACACTATTTGGCATTCTCCTATATGCTCTCTCAAAAACTTTTCCAGTGAATTTCTTTGTAATGACATGAGGGCGTGGTTGTCATTTACGAGTGGAATTGATCTTTTACCTGAAGTGGACTCCACTGGTAGTTGTTACCAAAACACCGACTGTCTTCTACCACATTCTGATCAGGTTTATTTTTGGAATTCTACTTCGAATTAGCTATGTTTTGTTTAACCGCCCCTTGCCATTTTGGTTCAGGTCGAAAATAGACGATTTGCATTCGTTTTTTACTTCACGGATGAGTGGCAGGAGAGTTACGGAGGGCAGACGAATATCTATAATTGTGACGGTACGTTTTCTTGATATTTCTTTTGAGCGAGACGCATTTGCTGATTTTTGTCCTCTTTCGTTTTCTTCCTTCTGTGCATTGTATTGAACTTGCCAAACTTAATATATGATAGTTGAAATTGTGTAAATCTCTTTTGTAAAGTTTCATCGGCATCAGTATTCCCAAGAATTTATTTCTAATGAGAAACTTTCAGAAAATTGCGATCCAACAACGGTCTTCGCTTCTCTTACCCATCCTAGAAATTCTCTGCTTCTCTTCGAAGTGTCAGAAAAGTAGGTTTATCGGAAGTATTAGTATTTTCCAATTCACTGGAATGTAGCTATTTCACAGAGAGCAGTTCGTTTTAAACCCGACATTCGCCATGTTATATGGGGTTTAAGTGTATGTGTTCTTAATGAGGTTACGGGTCCAAAACTTTGAAATGTTGAAGTGGCAAAGGTAGGATCGATTAACTCAGGATGTCTTAGTTGACAGCTGGCTGATAGCGGGTAGAGCTAATTCTAGGGTGGAAGCGGCTAAACCTGTCTGTAGGCAAGTGATAGCTAACTAACGGGAAAAGAGGTCAGTGTGGGCAGGAAAAGTGGAACGTGGTGTATGTCCTGAAGTACTACGGTGGAAAACAGTTGTCAAGTTGACCGCAGTCCAGCGAAATGCGTGGCTGATGCAATCGGTTGTGGTCGCAGCAATCGTCATTTAATAGTGCACCAATACGCCGTGAAGTTAGTTATGATTGGAAGGCATCTGTAGCAGGCGGCGTGGTGGGCTTTATTTTGTAGGTATGGATATGGGATTAGTGAAATTTCCAGTAACCTAAACGGAAGGGATGCTAGGATCTCTTCCCTTATCGATGGTTTTTTTGGGAAGAGTTTGAGTTCAGGGTGTGTGTGTGTGCGAAGTATTGTCTCATTTTTGAGGCTCAAATGAGATTTTCTACAATGTGAAGTGACAGATAGCGGCCATGATGCTGCCTGTAACTTTCATGTCAGCTGTTTGAATGGTGGTTCTCTCTAATTCTATGGCGCTGTAACATATTCTTTACGTTCTTACTTTTCTTTCTTTACAAGTCTTAAATATTGCCTCAATTCGCAAGGAAAACAATGTCCACATTTAGGTCTTGGCATTCCGTTACTGAAGTGGTGGGCGAAGATCACGATCCACGTCTTTCCATTAACGGATGGTTTCATACCACTCGTCCAATACAGCCTCGAGTACGACCACCACTTATTCGTCCTCGTCATACACCAAAAGATGTGGGCCTATATTCTGCCTGTTTAGTTTCTTTTTCGTTTTTTCTACGTTTCTAATTTCTTTTTAGGAGGTGGATCTGACTGTCATTCTCACTGATAAACTTTTTGGTGATATCTTGAAGGAGGATCTCAAGAAGGCTTTTAATGAATATGATCAAATGCTCATCACTCTTGTAATTCAGGTAATAATTGAAATATAGCTGAATAACTTCTTATTGAATGGCACTCCTTCGATGCTTTTTGAAAGAAATACAGGAGGTGTTACAGGAATCGTTCAGCAAGAAGGTCTTGGACGAGCTCGACTCTGCTACATGGATCGAAAAAGGGCCTGTGAACAAAAGGTTGGCATTAGCTTGCTCTGCGAATTTTTTTTTTCTTTTTTTTGCAAATTTGCAAACTTCAAAGACTGGGATGGTATGATGTACGAACGATTTCAGATGGATAGCGGAGTTCGATGTTGATGGAGATGATTGCAAAGGAGCTATAGCTGATTTTGTGAAAGCTCTTCGGTCCCAGTCCATGATGAATTTCGTTGAGAAAATGACTGGGTTCGAGTTTAAAGGTAGGAATACTTCTACAAAATTGCAATATGTTAAATTACGGAGGGATTTTAGATCCTCAGAACACGATTTGGGCCTACCGCCTCACACGCGGTTGTTATACAGTGCTTGGAGATGAAGATGCTGAACAATTCGTCAAAGATGGACCATCGGTTGATTATTGGGTGAGTATTTCGTAGCAGCTACTTCGATTACCAGTATGTTGGGTGTGTTGGAATACATTCAACGGCACTAAACAATACCTAATATGGGGCGGTTGAAAATCGAAGAGCCATCGCGGGTGGTATTTATTTCTTGGTGTTTCCGACGTATTGCTATTCGACGAGGGCTTTCACTATTATCTTCTTGCGAACATTTGGATTTACCAAGATAGTTTTTCGCATAGGCTTCCCCTATAATAGGAAGTACTGCTACTGTAGTCGTTAATTATTTGTTGTGCTCTAATTCAGCTCATCAATTGTGACTGCATTTTCGACATATTCCGTGGAATCATGGATTAAAACGTAGTTTTAATAGAAACTGAAATCATTATTTTTAGTTCTATTTTGGAAAATCGCAGTGGCAAGAAGATGCTGGTGGAGTAACAGTATATATCAGGAAGGACCAAGAGACACCGGTAAGTTATCTCGTTTTCATTCAGTGAGACGCAATAACGAACGATAGATTTTGTGACTACTTGGTCCTAATTTTGAAATCACTCCATTTTTGTTGTATATCGGTTTCCCGTGTCGCTCGTGAAATTTCGTACACCGTTTTGGACCATACTTTACCAGGGTGTAACCAGGTTTGGGGGCCGTCGTTTTAGGATGGGAACGGGAAGTTCTATGGAATTGCAGAAGTTTCTAGTTGTTCATGAATCGCTAGAAAATTTGGTAGATATTTTCTTTGAGACATCCTCTTTCTATCGTCGCAGCTTGCGGTTGAAAAAAAAAACGACTAAAACGACATGCATACAAAATATTTATGAGAACCTAATACAGCTAGAGAAGAAATTTTGAAATTGTGAATTCCTTTCAGGTGCTTCTGTGTCCTCCTACCGTCAATGCTATGGCCGTGGTATATCGCGAGAAAGATGTGTTCCCCTTTGTGAAGTATGTGAATCAACTTGCCGATGAACATCCGATGTATGTCTTCGGTTTGTCGGTGTATGGTGGAATCAAGCCAGCTAAAGACGTTAATGAGGACGGTAGCGGTGATGCGAAAGTCGAGCAAAATGGTGCCTGAAAGCGAAGTTCGTAGAAGTTCTATTGTTTATTGTCGTTTGTTTACCGTTATGAAGTAACTGTTTTACCATTATTATTCAGTAACATGTAGCTGTTTGATGATGAGAAGATCTTTGTTGTCTACTCGATTGCATTTTCCTCTCCTTTTTACGTCGGTTCCAGGTATTGGAATGTTGTTTTGGCTAGGGTCTCGAAGTTGTTTTCCCGTTTCACGGTTTTATTGTTACGTTTTATTTTTTTAGTCTGTTTAGTGAAATGTACCGGTATTGTTGAACATTTATTTGTGTTAGATTGTTCTAGAAAAAACGTTTTAGTAAATGAAAGATACAAGGTTGATCTTTCATGAAATCCAACTCGAAATCAGTTACAATAGGGATCTACAACGAATACAGTGGCTTTGAGCCAACACTCGTTGTAGGATCGCACCTGGCAGGATGCCAATGCCAACACTACTGCGATAGCCGTTATTGGCAAAATATCTGATTCTTTGCTTACAGACGCTCTGTACGAGTATTTCATCGCACGCAGACTGACACCTGTAACCGTATTACTACATTCATCAACAAGGCAAGGGGAAGCGTTAAGAATTGATTACTCAGAAGTCAAGGAAACACCAGACGATCTTGGGAAACTCGTCGCATTAACGATCCACCCGTAGAAGGCAATAGACAGGCTCCCGATCAATGTAGCAACAAATTGAATCGGTTAAAGCCCATAACCACTTTTGTGCCACTTTTCCTCCCGAACAACTGCAACTTGGAAGAGAAGTTAGCCTACTCGTCGACGTGTAGTCAGTGCAACATGGTCTTGATCTTCAGATGAGTAATCGATGCGGTTAACCATGTTAAGCATTCCTCCACAACCCTATACAACCAATATAAATACATTTCTCTGTACCCTCCTATCAAATGATTTCCCTCTCCCAGACAGCTGCATGGAATAACGAAACATAGGGTAGGAGGAACTCGAAGGAAGCTGATGTCTCTCGTGCGGGGGGTAGATACTTCGCGCGATCTGTTCGAAGTAGCAGAAGTTAAGGGAGGAGATTGGCGGGGTTCGTGTGGAGTGGTACTTCTGTACCACTTCATTCCCTCTAACCACTCGAATCGTTGGGAAGTTTGCCTCGTGGTCGACATTCAACCAGTCCAAGATGGTCTTGATCTTCAGCTCAATAATTAATGCGTTCAGCAATGCTGCGCATTCCGCCACAATCCTATACACAACATAAATAGATTTCTCTGTACGCTCTTATCAAATGATTTCCCTCTCCCAGACAGCTGCATGGAATACGAAACATAGAGTAGGCGAGAGCCCAGCGTCTCGTTTTTGACGGTATGGGTACTTCGCGCGGTCCTCTCGGAGTAGCCAGTGCTGAGGGAGGAGACCTCTGTGAAAAGGCTTAATCAAGCATTGTTTTTCCCCCACTCAGCTGCCCAAGGGAGGGAAGAGTCGGCACCAAGGCCAAACGAGCGCTTCTCATATCAGCCACAAGAGAGAACAATGAACAGACTCGAATTCATGGGATCAAATAATAAAGGATTCGAGTCCCAACTTGAAATATAACCTGGAATACAAAAAAAAAAGCAAATCGATGCGCTTCAAACTGAACCAGAAGTTCATGACGCTCCATAGCAGAAAATCATCAAAGTTGTTCAACATCGCAACTTTTAAATTCACCACCTGACACTAAAAGTTGAAGGGTAGGCATTGTGTCCAAATATAGTGCTTATCCTTTTACGAAAGCTGTGAGGCTTTTTTACCATGTGATCCTCCCAGTCCACTGAAATAAATTCGATGGGAAGTTTGGCTAAATATCGAAGCGCACTTCACTTCGCACTCACAGTTCCATGTGTTCTTGGAAAAGTCAGCAACCATTCCTTAACTCCTTTACCTTGCCTTGGTTTTCCTTGCTCTCATCTAATAGCTCGTAATTAAAGATGCATTGTATCGAGCCCCTCTGAGCTTTGCTAGTTAGCAACCACCCAATGTTAAGGTGAGAATATGAGTCGCGCGATCTTCCTCTTCTGAACCTTTGAGGGTTAACTGTCTATTGAAGAATCACGGGAGATCGATACACTCTAAAACCCTGAAAGAACGTTTACGTGTGTTTTTAGAAAACCAGGCGACCAGTGGTCGTTCTGTGCGTTGAACTTTGGTCTCGCAGAGGGGTCCCTGCCACAGTCTGGGAGAATAACAAGGAAACCGAGAGGGGTAAAAGAAGTGAGGTATTTTATCGATATCGGAGCGGATTGATTTTCTGGGAATCTGGCGGGAGACCCCCCAACGAGACCAAGGTTCACCACATAGGACGGCCACTGGTCGGCTGGTTTTTTTACCCGCACATTTTCAGTTCTTATTTTATTGGTTGCTTTCCGGCACGATCTTCTCAAAGAGAAAAGAGCTCCCAGCGTTGTCCTGGTACTGGTCTAGTGGGTAGGACTCACCATTTCGCCCGATATTCCATTACCACCATGTGGCGATGCTCCACATTTGTTCAAGGCACGAGTAAGCTCGTCGTCCAGTGATGGGCTGTCCCGTCAGCGGTTCCCCCCTTTTACCCTTTTATTGTAAACAAAAATCAGTCGTAAATCATTGTAAATGCTAGAAATAATGGAATCATAATGGTGGGAATCGGAGGTCACAATCGAATGGAATCGAACCGCCCAATAAGGCCGCCCATCCTCATTGATTCCACGGCACTGGTGGGCGCTGGCGTCCTTTTTCTTCATTTCTTTCGTCTCCTCTATCAAAAAATTTTCTTTGTTCGATTTGTATCTTAATACTTTATACGTGCGTCGTCCCAATACACAGTCTTCCAAGGGATTCACACAACTTTTTTCAGATGGACCCAAGACGCCGCCTCACTGGCTTCGGCGAAGTCCAACTTGGGGATGCTCCTATGGGCGCACACCTTGCACAGGTCAGTAGCGTTTCCTTATCTTTCCTTTTCATAATTCAATAGAATAGTGGAATAAAAAAGTGATTTGCAGGTGTGCGCTCAGTCAGTAGTGGATCGATAAGGTCTTCCCGACTGAGAGGACCCTGACGATCCACCACCTACTCGCGTGTGGGGCCACAGGTATGAGGTTTTTTGTTTTCTCTTCCTGTATTTTACATTAATTCGATCCATTTCAGATCCGTATGGGCGATCGTGGCCCAAGGACGTGTGATGGGATGGGCAGATGGATGGAACGAGCGGTCAACGGTTTTTTCTTTTTTGTCCTGTCTGTCCGGGTGTGTGTTGTCCGTGTTTATGCATGCTACGTCCTTGAGGGTGTCGGTCCGCGTCTGTCCGCGTCTGCCCCTTTGTACGTGCCTGTCCCCCTCTGTCCGTCCGGGTCCCTCTGTCTGTCCGTGTCTGTCTGTGCGTGCCCTCTGTGTGCCTCCGTTCGTCCCTGTCCACCCGTACCTATCTGTTCGTCCTCGGTCTGCCCGTGGCCGTTTGTCTGTATGTGTCCGTGCTCGTCTGCCTGCCTGTCTGTCCGCATTCTTTCATGTCTGTCTCTGTCTGCCTGACTGTGCCTTTCATCTACCCATCTGTCTGTATGCCTGCCGGTTCTTCACCCCTCTGTCCTTCCAGCTTGTCTCCATCAGCAGCGTAGGTTTTTCGTCCATGGTAGAATCAAATCAGCCGCTTGGGATAAAGCGGGCGCTTTTGATGTTACGACAGCGACTTTACGGAATTTGCTCAATACAGGACTTTTATATAAGAGTAGCCATTCCTCTTCTGTCTCATCTCTTCCTCTTTCAATATTCTCCTGTTGTCTTGAGCCTTGTGAACGATCAATCTCCACCTGTAGTCCATTCTACAAAGATGAAGCGAGTGCTGAAAAGATCGGCTCTGCTGTGGATGAGGTGGGGAGGGAGGCAGTGGTGAGAGTAAACTTGATAGTGTCTGAATGTTTAGGAACTCTTAAAAAGTAGAGAAATTGAACGGAATCGTAAACATTTTATTTTTAATCTATCCTTTCTCAACAAATTGGTGTGGGTAAAGGGGTGTGGTTGGAGTAGTGAGAGTACCGTTGAGATTTCGTAGGAGACGGTGTGTGAACGGCAGGATCGTGGTGAAGCGAGGATCTCTCATTGTGAGACATCCGGTCAGCATATTAGATTGAAATTGAAATTAAATATGATTTCGAGCGAATTTGTCTTATTTTTCCCATTTGGGGAGGGATATGGGGAATTGAGGAGGGAGAGCAGTGGTAATGCTGAGTGTATGGAAGGTTTCAGGAAGTGGGGAGTGAACGAAATGTCAGGTTATTGTCCGGTGACATGGTATGGATAACAGGGAGAAGGAGGAGGGGAAAGGGCGTTGTAGAAAGTTTGTGAGGGAATTCGGGATGAGGGAGTGAAGTTGTGCGGAAGAATTCTTTTGCCACTTTTTTGTCACATGTGGCTACTAGGATGATAGATTGAAATTGAGTTTAGATCAAATATATTTCACGTGAAATCCTTTTCTTTCTATTTTCCTTTCTCTTGTTGTTCATTTTCTCTGAACAAACTCTGTCTTTTCTGATTGTGAGTCTTTTCATTTTTGTATTTTCTTTCTCAATCTCCTGTTCGTTTCATCCGATCGTTTTTCCTTTTCATTCCGTTAGAACTGTAGTTCTCCATTTTTTCATATTTCCATGTTCTTTTCAGATCGTTCATCTCTTTTAGTTCATCCCGTACTTTTCAGTTCTTCTAGCTAAAATTTTCCTCCTCCTCTTTTCTTCCCTTTCCTTTTTTCTCTTTTCCTTTTGCCTTATTAATCAATAGGACCACTCATATGACTGTAACGGAATCTAGCAAGTCCTGTATCGACCAATTAGCGGTGAAGATGCTTTCAATGACATCAATTGCCCCGTACAGTCTCGAAGCGGGTGTTTGATTCATGCATGGATAGAGGTACCTGCACTGATGGAGACAGGCAAAGAGAAGGACGGAGTGGGAGACAGTCCGGAAGACATGCAGGAAGAGGTGGTAGAGGGAGAGGGTCCAGATAGGTGGAGCAGGGGCAGACGATGGAAGAAGCGGACGGCTCGGTAGGCAGATGGATACGGGCGGATACATGCAGATGTGGTCATGGCTAGGCCGAGATGGCAGATGGTAGAGGGGACATGGCCGAGCGGAGCCAGACATGGAGGGGAGGCATAGGCAGAAGCGGAAGGGAGAGGGAGGGGAGGACGGACAGGTGCAAAGGAGGGGGGCAGGCGCGAGTGCAAGGGAAAGGGTGGGGGGTAGATTAGACCATTGAACCAGGCGGGCATACAGCACTGTATGTATGTTCGACAGTTTTACGCCCGCGTGCCACTCCTACGTGCCCTCCCCCCTCCTTCTCCCAACATCTCGTGCCTGCCCTCCTCCTTTTCTATCTGTCCGTCCCTCCCCCTTCGTTCTCCCCGTACCCGTCTCTGCTTGCCCCCTCTGCCACTGCTATCCATCCCTCTCCTCCTTAGTATCTGCCCATCCCGGCTGCCCCCTCCATGACTCTACGTGCCCATGCCGACCTGCCTTTCAATACGTCGCCGTCTGCTTCCGTCGTCCCTTTTCTGTTTGCCTGCGACCGCCCTTCCACCCGCTCCTGTCCGCATGTTTTCCCGCCCGACAGCCATCCGCCCTTTCACTTGTCTGCCTTCATTTATGTTAGTACTGCTGTCCAAAAAGGTATGGTTACCCTCCAGACGAAGCGTTCAGGGAATTGCCGCCCAAGACGAGGATAAAGTAACAATGACTAAGAAGGGGAATGAAAACAACTAAGAAAGAGGAAAACATAAATAAGAGAGAAGAAAACAGAAGAAAGGGAACGAGACAGAAAATAGGTAAAAAATGGTGAAATACAGAACCCTGCAAAAAAATGAATTGGAAAGGAAAAAAAAAGATGAAGAAAGAATTGAATGAGCTAAAACAGAACAAAAAGAGCGAACTAACTCTACGAAAGACTAAAACAGATTAGATCAAAGCAAAAGGAGGACATGTCGAGCAAAAATTTTTACTAGGATAAAAAAAAAGGAAAGAGAAAAATGGTAAAAGAACGAACGACGGAGAAGAGAACTACAGTAGCAAAAAGACAGAAAAGACAGAAAAGCAGCATAATTCAAAATAACAGAGAAAACTGTTAACTGGATACCGATGCTGGTAGGAAGAAATGATTAGGAACAGAAACAAGGTAGGTAGAAGGAACAGAAAAGAGAAAATAACTCGAAAAAAAGAGTCAAGAGGAGAGGACAAGAAAGTAAAGAGGAACAAACGATGGAAAAAACTAATGTGAACTAAAACGGAGAACATACTCAAGTAGAATCGATCAGAACAAAGAAAAATGTGCAAGGCGTAGACCATTACTACAAAAAAAGAAGGCAAAGAGAGGCAGAAAATAGAAGTGAACTCATGAGAAACAGGATCATGAAGAAATCAGAATACATAGAAAGGAAATGGAGAAGTCCTGAAAGACTGTGATCAACTTTCATCGAATCTCAGCAGGATTTACTGATGTGGTAGGTGTTATTGTGATGCCTCGCCAAGGGTACAACTTCATTCGGCTACAGTTTCGGTCAACTTGACGACAGAGCCGAAAAGTTAGCCGAATAAAGTCGTATCATCCGAGATCGAGGCACAACAATAACACTTAAGACATCGATACTGAAGAACCAGTAGTTGAAGAGATAGAGACAAAAAGTATGAGAAGGTCCCTACTCCCCAAGACTATTTCCACCTACCCTTTCAACCCTAATCCTCCAATACTTCCCTCAAGCCATTACTATCCTACTGAAAGACCGAGGTCGAAAAGGTACGGAAGAAAAGTTTTAGGAATGCCATTACTTCGCAAAACCGATCTTCTCTATCCTTTCACCTGTAGCCCTTCAGTATGACAACACCTGAAATTGTGAAGAGACTAATGAAGAAGAAAGAAGAGGAAGGACAGATTTAGAGAGATAGGACTAAAGGGGCAAGCGGAAACCATCCAGAAAGAAACCCGAAAAGAGGGGGACCTTAGCAAATTGGAAACTCATATGGTACAATGGGAGACTTCTAACTATTTTACACAAAAAGGGTAGCTATTAGCGACCCTTTGTTGTATGAAACAATCAGGACTTTCCCACATGCACCAACATGAGGTCCCAAATTATGCCCATCAAGAAGTTTACCTAGGCCCCTTTATGGACAGCAGTTATCTATTTCACAAATGAGGCAGACATTAAGGACAGACTGGCTGGCGGACTAGGGAACACGCAGACAGAAAGGTAGATGGACGGCTACAGACAAACAGACAGGAACTGACAGTGGCAGACGGCAGACAGATAGAAAGGCAAGAAGACATGGACACATAAAGACAAATGGAGACAGACATAAGGATGGACAGATACCTTGACGGGAGGACAAGGATGGACAGCACGCACAGGTGGGCATGCACAGACAGATACGGACAGACAGAGGGACGTGGACGGACAGACAAGGAGGTGGACAGGCACGTACAAAGGGATCGACGCGGACAGACGCGGACCGACACCCTCAAGGACGTAGCATGCATAAACACGGACAACACACACCCGGACAGACAGGACAAAAAAAGAAAAAACCGTTGACCGCTCGTTCCATCCATCTGCCCATCCCATCACACGTCCTTGGGCCACGATCGCCCATACGGATCTGAAATGGATCGAATTAATGTAAGATACAGGAAGAGAAAACAAAAAACCTCATACCTGTGGCCCCACACGCGAGTAGGTGGTGGATCGTCAGGGTCCTCTCAGTCGGGAAGACCTTATCGATCCACTACTGAACTGAGCGCACACCTGCAAATCACTTTTTTATTGCACTAATCTATTGAATTATAAAAAGAAAAGATAAGGAAACACTACTGACCTGTGCAAGGTGTGAGCCCATGGGAGCATCCCCAAGTTGGACTTCGCCGAGGCCAGTGAGGCGGCGTCTTGGGTTCATCTGAAAAAAAAGCAGTATGAATCCTTTTGGAAACTGTGAGAAATGACGTACAACCTGTTCATTAAGGTATAAAGATACGAATCAAATATAGAAAATTTGATAGAAGAGACGCAAAATATGAAGAAAAAGGATGCCACCGCCCACCGGTGCCGTGGAATCAATGAGGATGGGCGGCCTTATTGGGCGGTTCGATTCCATTCGATTGTGACCTCCGATTCCCACCATTATCCTTCCATTATTTCTAGCATTTACAATGATTTACAACTGATTTTTGTTTACAATAAAAAGGGTAAAAGGGATGACGTGAACTTCACAATAGCTTCCAGTGCTTGAGTATGTATATGAGTGGTTCAAAGCGAATACTCAAATAGCCCACACCGCTGACGGGACAACCCATCACTGGACCACGAGCTTACTCGTGC